TAGAGTCAAAGTGCAAAATTTAAACTCTCATAACTTCGAAATTTTTATAGATACATTTTTTTTAACTTTTTTTCCATTTTCCTGGTATCTTACTTTATATGGCATTTTTCCCTGGAGCGCGAGTTCTCGCGCACCCTGTATATTTTTTGCGTTTTTAAAACATTAATTTCTTTGACGAAAACATACTCTTTTAAAATGTTATTACGCAAAAATTACAAACCGTCTCGATAGAAATAATCCTTCTCTCGTCTGGGCATTTTTTGAGTTCAACTGATTCCTGTTGACGCTTTTTAAACTGGGGAATCTTTTTGTCACATCCAGTTTTTTAGCTTAAAGGGTTCAAACTCATGATATCAATTCTCTCTGGCGTATTTTGTTTGGTTGTATCCTCCCTCACAGCTTTTACTAACTGCGTTATTTTTCGTTAATAATAAAAAATTATTCAGTTTTTCTTTAGTAACCATCATAACTAAGAAAAAACTCGGAATCACTGCTCCAATACATTTTTTACGAAATGCCTAGGTGGGATATTGATACAATTCATTAAGGAAACGGTGATGACGAATAATAAGAAAATAAAGTTTTTACACTTTAATTATATTAATAAATAGATTATTTAAGGTGGCATAAAAATATCGTGTTCTATCTGTGAGAAAAGCTTTCTTAAGCACAGGTTCGTGCGAAACTTAAACACTCGCATAAAAAATTCGATTTTCAACATTTGTAAAACAAACTCGCTGGGATACCTGTATAATAATTTTTACAGGGTGTTTCGCTTTTATTATTACAAATTTAAAAGGGTGATAGAATATTCAATTTTAAGACAAATGTTTCCTATGAACATGTATCAAAAATTGTTATGTAAGCGATGGACACCCCCTGAAAGAGATGCGTTTTTTAATGGGGTTTTCCCACTAAGGCAGAATAGATAAAATTGTAAACTGATTTTACTCAAAAACCGTAAGTTGTATAAAAAAAAAACGTTTAAGACCTCTAAACTACCATGGATAGTGATGAATTTCTTCTGTTGTAAAAAAAGTTAAAATAACTTGGAAATTATTAAATTTAGGTATAGAGAATGTTGATACAGATCGATGCAGAATTAAATTCTCTTTCACTTAGTGAAGAAAAAATTGGGTTGAAAAAAATGGCAGAGATCGATTTTTGAATAGAAATATGCAAATCCAACAAAATTTAAAAAGATATTTCGAAAACAGTTAAACTTAGATATAGTAGTCTAATATTATTCCGAAGAAAATATAAAAAATCGCGCTTTTTTATTTGATAAATTTAAGTTGGACTTTTTTACTTCTTTGCTACCTGTTATCTCCCAAAGCCACGATGACCCAAACTTCATACTTGCCCATCGTTCCTAACTGTGTTGGTAGTATGCGTTGACAAATTTTCAACTTTTATAAAATGACGAAGGTCTAGCGACCGCGGGCTCTCGCTCTATAGGAAAGGCAAATAAAAAATCTTTCAAAATCACTTAAGTAATCCAAAAACGCAATAAAAACATAACTTTCTATTTAAGATACCGAAGTTGATCTCTACTTCCGTTGTAACAGGAAATCTTGAAAATATTTTCCTTGAGCAGAACCTAACCAACTATGGCTATAAACAAAATTTTAGATAAACATCATTGTTAGAACTCCCAGTACTTCTAATGTGGGGTTTAGCCGGAACACCCTGTATATGTGATATATGTACATTTTATTCTGCTACGTAACTTTGGTATTATAAGCGTGAGAGAATAATGAAAGTATGCATCTGCAATATATCGTTGCTTTAGTAAAAATAAAATTTGAATAAATTGTACCCAATTGTACCCAATTCTTTCAATGTGGGGTTTAGTTTAATATTTTTCGATACATGTTCATAGGAAATTTGTACGAGTATCCTAAAATTGAATATTCTATCTCCGTTTAAATTTGTAACAATAAAAACGGAACATCCTGTATATACAAACAAGTGCGATTTCTTGCAGTTTATTTTTGGTGGTGAGTAGTGACGGCTTACAGAACCATAAAAAGGTCAAATTTTAGTTTGTGCTTAGCACACTTGATCGATCAATCTTCATCGATGCCAATTTGTATTATCACCAAAGATAACCCAACTACTGGACGCGTCGTCAATAAATAGATCAAGCAGCTGCTAGCGACGTATTTCACAAGCTTTCAGATAAGTCCTTGTGAATAAAACACGAATCCTCATGCTTCACGATGGTCACAACTGATTTCAATAGTTTGTTTTATATGAAAAATACAAGATGTTTTGTAAATGTCGATCAACTTTTCAAAATCTTGTACCTTTAGAAACACACAAAAACTTTGGTTGTTGAAAACAAAGAAAAGACTTGTGCACTTTATCCACAATAAAATTCTTTCTTACTAAAAGAATTCATCAATCATAAATCTCAGTAGTCGTCACTCTTGGAACCTATTTTTCTTTCCAATTAGTTTTGATCGAACGTTATAAATATGTAACAAAACAAAGTTCGCTAATTTATGTAATCTCGATGAAAGTTTGTGAAACTTTAAGCGCGAGTTTGCCTGCCTTAATTAAAACATCATAAATGTGGCAAACCTTTTATGCTGAATAAGTTAAAAACGGTGAATTTGAAAGCTCCTAATAAGATTGTTGTTAATTGGTTTTTCGTAATGAACCAGTTTTGAGAATCCTATTTAGCAATCGGGTAATTTTTAAATACATTATTTTTAATTGCATAATAATTTTGTCAAAAGAATTTCTTAATCCCGAGAGTAGGTGTATTTCGCCTTAGTGAGACCGGAAACCAATTTCAGTGAAACAGAGAGAAATACAGTCAAACTTAAATATTAAAAAGCAGAATAATAATAAACAAAAGCAAAGTACTTGAACCGTTGATCAATTTGTTCTCAGTTACGGATGAAAAATTTGCAATAAAAGCTAGATCATTGTTTAAGATTGAAATTTTTGGGCGTTTGTATTATTTTTGAGTTTTACAAAAAAAAATAATGAACTCATTTCGCCAATTTTTAATTCTATTTGCGTTTGCAAAATTTGGAGCTGATAGCTCTCTTCGTTTAGGACTTTAGGAGATATTAAGAAAAGATGGAAACAAATTTCAAATTTTGGCGCCATTTATTTATGGGAAGGAAGAGTTTTTGCACAATCGTTTACATGAAAATCCCACATTATACAGGGTGCGCCAGAACTCGCGCCCCAGAGAAAAATGCCATATAAGGTAAGGTACCAGGAACAAGGAACAAATGTTAAAAAAAATTTATCTATAAAAATTTCGAAGTTACGAGGGTTTAAAGTTTGCACTTTGAGTCTATTTATTTCTGTTGGAAAAATAATTTTCCAAGTTTTTTTGCTATAGGCTATTCAAAGAGGAAACAAGGAAGCTGTATCCTAAATTGTAACTCTATTCAATGTTATTTGTGGCTTTTATTGGCAAAATTTTTGTCCCTTTTTGACAGAGAGAATTTTTTAAAAATTTTTTCATGTTCCTAGGATCTTATCTTACTTGAAACTTTTCTCCGGGACGCGAGTTCTGGCGCATCCTGTATCTACGTGTTCTAAGGATTCCTGAATTTTTCCCCGATTAAAACGAAACCAGTCTGTATATAGGATAATTCATAAATATAAAGCAATATTTGAACCTCAAAAGTGACCTATAAAATGATATTAATTTATAAATAATAACTCGTGTCGTACCTACTAATAAAAATTTTACTGCCCTTGGAATGTGGGTATGAATTTTTTTTTGTAATAACTTTGGAACCATTTGACCAAATATTATAAAATTTGGAATAGTTACTTGCGAGAACATACCTTTTAAACTGGTAAACACGAAAACCGGATACATCTTCTCAATTTCTGGTTGCTGCAGTTGCAGGTCACATTTTCTGTGTTTTTCCGTTTTGTTGCTCTCTTAAAACTAATTTTTTATTGCTCAGATCGATAAAAATGCAAAACTTTTAATACTCCTAAAATGGACCGTATCAAAGATATTTTAATTTAAAAGGAAGGCTGCATAACGCTGAAAGCCAAAAATATGAATTTTGAATAATTGATATCCACAGCAACGAATGACCATGGTCACACAAATCGCTGTCACCCATTCAAAATTCCTCACTCAAAATTAAAATATTTTTGAAACGGTTTATTTTTAGGATATTATAGATTTTACGTTTTTTATTCAAAATTAATTGCCTTATCGATTTGAAGCAATAAAAAATTAATGTTAAGAGAGCAAAAAAATGGAAAAATACAGAAAATGTGAGTTGCAGTTGCAGCAACCGGAAATTGAGTAGATGTATTCGGTTTTCGTGATTACTAGTTCAAAAGATATGTTTTCGCAAATAACTGTTCCAAATTTTATCATTTTTGGTCAAATGGTTTCAAAGGTATTACAAAAAAAAAAAAACTGTACCCACACTCCGGGGGCAGTAAAATTCTTATAAGCAGATGTAGGATACGAGTTATTAATTAAATTATCATCATTGTGTAGGTCATTTTTGAAGTTCAAATATTGCTTCATATTTATGAATCACCCTGTATAAATTGTGCAGAACTCATAAACAAAACTACAATTTAAACAAAAATATTTTTCAGAAGCGATCAGATAATATTTTTGTTCAAAAGGTATGTACATACTTTTGGTTCACTCTGCATAACGCAACTATTTGTTAGTACAACTTTTTTTAATTCATCTCTTTAGCGATTTTCTTAGTAATAATTTTGGGGTAATCTATTAATACATTCGTAAAATCAATACTATTTCAATTTCCAAATGGTAATGTAGGTAGTAAATAACATTGTTACCACTAAGATTTACTAATTTTCATAATGACTGCAGTGGAAAATCAGATTTGTTGCGTAGTTATTTAGCAAAATTATTCATTTTTGCTTGATTTAAACCAACTCAGATTTCAAATACGAATTTTATTACAACTAACAACGCAAAAACAAAAAATATAATTTATTGTTCAAAATTACGTTTCTTGTTTCAGGTGTCCTTTTTTTCAACGAGTCCAGAACTGAGTAACAAGCAAAGATTCGAATTTTTCACCAGAACGATTCCATCTGATCATTATCAAGTGAAGGCAATGGTCAACATTGTTATCTTAATGGGATGGAGTTACATATCTATCATTTACGAAGAATCAAATTACGGGATTAAGGTAAGTTGACTGAAAAACAATTGGTGAAATGAAAGTTATGTAAATGCTTTTTCCCATAAAGATATCTACAATTTATAAGGACAATAACTACTTATATAACTTAGGGTGCCCATATTTAATGCATTTTAAGGAAATCTTAGGGTATTTCATAAATATGAAGCAATATTTGCACCTCAAAAATGACCTATAAAATAATGTTAATTCAATAATAATTCGTGTTTTACAGCCCGCAAAATTTGGTATGGAAATTTGTTACCTATTTTATAATAACTTCCAAACCATTTGTCCAAATATTATAAAATTTGTAACAGTTACTTACGAGAACTAGTAATTACGAAAACCGCATACTGGATATACCTTTATTCAATTTCTCCGGTTTCTGCAGGTTTCTATGTTTTTCAACAAAAATAGATCGTTTCAGAGAAATTTTAATTTAAAGTGAGCACTGCACATTAATAAAAGCAAAAAGTATGAATTTTGAATGAATGATATCCCCGACAACGATGATTTGTGACACAAATCTCTGTTAGGCATCTGTCAACTTTGCCATAGAAAGATTTTTGACACTTAATCGAAAATACTTAATAAGACTCCCACCTCAGACTCCAACATAACCTATAACAAATCTAAACGGATCTCGTAACATGTAATTCATAAAAAAAAATACAAAAACTTATCATGCACTATCCAAAAATTATTGGTTCGATTCGGTAAGTATCAACAACTACCAACATTGTTACACCCCCACCTGTTAGGTGGACAATTATAATTTTACAGCAGGTTTTTCAATATGTACCTAGTGCATCTCTCCCGGATTTACCCTATTTTAAATCTTTGTCTGATTCGGTAATTACAACTTTTACAATCATTGAAAGCTGGTACATTTACCCAATATCAAAATTAAAACCTCTTTTGCGTTTTAATTTTGCGAAAACCAAAATTTAATTTTTATATCAGGAATATGGTGGTTATTCTTCGAACTAAACCTTAGATTTTTTTAAAGTTGTAATCTTTTAAATTATGTGAAGTGCCACAATATCCACACTGTCAAACTTACGACGACCGATTTTAAGTAATGACATACCAAGAGTATGAAAAAGTATATACTACGTACTTTATGAGTGATTATTTTAGATAGTTTTGTGTGTTCAAAAAAATTAAATTAAATTTCCAATGGTGTTCAAGATTAATGATTTTTGCATAAATCTCGCGGTAAATCGTCGTTTTTTTTGACCGTGCTTAAACGTTCAAAAAATGAAAAAATAACACCATCTTCGTCTTAATTCTATGATTTTACTGATTGTTTTTAATAAGATTTTGCAAAACAATTGTTGTGTTATTAGCTGAAAAACATGCTAAAATATTTGAAAAAAAAAGGTAAAAAAGGGTAATTTTGCGGTCTTTAAGACCAATTGAAAATTTAGTTCAAAAACAAGCTTAAAGATTTAACGAAGATGAAAACAACACCATTCTAAATTTAGTCTTTGTGGCTTATTTTTGACCAAATTTTGCGCAAAGTCGAGCTAAAACCTGTAAACACACAGAACATCAATTTCAACTTATTTTTTGCGATTTTTAGGTGTATTTTTAGTCAGTTTTATCAAAACTTTTCAAATTAATATTGTTTTTATCTCAAAAATGTGTTTAAGCCCTCAAAATCGTTAAAAATGGCGCTATATTTCGGCCTAAACTGATAAATTTTTAGCTTGTTTTTAATTGGAATCTGAGAAATAATTTCCGTTCTTAGCTGAAAAACGTACATTCCGAAATATGTAATTTGTATTTTAATTTGGCAATTTTCGACTTCGTTTAGTGAAATTTCGTAAAAAGAAGAAATCAAACTAAAGTAGTTTAGTGAGTTTTTGAATCCGTTTTAAGAAAATTCAGTGAAATAATTGAGTTTTTGACTGAAAAACGTGTAAAATGCTCGACCAATGCAAAAAATAGTCGGAGTTTCTACCTAATTCTCCACATCAACAATTGAAAAACCGAATGATTTCAACGACGATTGCCCAGTCAGAAAAACTAATTCTATTTAATGTTCGGGGAAGTATAATATGCAAAAAAAAAATTATTTCTAAAAAATCAAAACTTTTTGGAAGATTTCAAAATTAGTTATTTACCTAACGTGTTTGGAAAATACAATTTCCTATATAAGCAATTTGTTTGCAGCACAACCGTAGGGAGTTATAAAACATGATTAAAAAATGTGGGGCCAACTTTCGCATAGTGGTAAAAAGACTTTCAGCTAAAAATAAATTCAGAATTTTGTTCAACCTTTTTTTCTGAACAAAAAACAGAACTGTTAATTTTCATATTATCATGTAGGCATCTTAGCTTTTTTGTTTCCGATGTTGATAGATTTAATTTACTGCTGAATTTGCTAGTTTGTTAAATGTTTTTTACACCATAGGGTTGGTGATTTTTTTCAACAGGTATCTATTCAGTCTCACAAGATTTACCGTTTCCGCTAACTAAATTCACGATTACATACCCGTTACTTTTGAATCATCCTGTATAGCTTTAGATTTATAATTGTTTTGTATTGGCTTTTATTTGGAAATTTTTACAAAACTTTTTTAGGTCAAAGGAAGTATAAATAAAATAAACATAAAGATTATCCTTATAATGGTATAATTTATTACTAGGAGTAAAAAGTATTTATTTTTGGATGAGCTCAGATGTTTGCAGCCGAGGCATAGCAAAATAAGCGAAACACAAAAAAGCTAGTAGCTGCTCCAATAATATTATTAACTTCATGCGTATAACATTTTCTTTATTTTCAGATCAAATTGTGTTAATATAACTTCTTATATAACTCCATTTTGTGATGCTTGTCCTTGAAATATATTTGCCTGATTTTGTGGAAGATGGTATACAGAACAAAGAAAATAAAACCATTAAATGCGTCGCGACGTTTCGATACCTTTATTGTATCTTCTTCAGGTGAAGAATTTTCGTTGACTGAACATGGGAGGCATGGCACAGTCAAGGAAGAACTTAAGGTATCGAAACGTCGCGACGAATTTAATGATTTTATTACCATCTCCCACGAAATTCTTATACATATAACTATAACTTCTCCGTTTTGAATAAGATCTGTAAAATTTTGTTCTTCAGAATCTTGAATTTTGGATGCTTTAGGATCAAGTATTTTCATTGCTGTCTCTTTTTTATGTCTTAAAGACTCTTGATAAAAAAACCGGAGTAGGTCCATTGAAACGTAGTAAGACATATTCTCTATGTGGATTCAAGTAAAACAGTAAAAGTTTCCAATAACAGTGGATGAACTTTTTTGTCTTGTTGTCTAAAATTTAAATAGGAAAAATATGCCTAGACAACATTTTCGGAGTAATGACAAACACTTTGTTCTCCGCACCATTTCAAGAACCTTTCGAGTTCGGCTACTCGTAGATTTTTCGAGACTTGACTGGTATTAAGGTGTCAATAGCGGCTTTTGCAGTTTCCTTTACTTCAGGAGGTGTAACACTGCTACACTTTTTCAGACATCTTTGGTAATCCGTGCTTTTCGCGTGAATTTTTGCACAATTTCCTGTGTTTGCACTTTGCACACGACCACGAACTGTCATTTGTTACTCAATATATTTTTAATAAAATTCAATGTTGCCAATGTCACCATACTAAAAGTTACTGTTATTATTGTACTAGTACAAAAACGGATTTGCATTATTATATCGTAATTTAATGCCCTTGTTCTACGCCGTCGGTGCTGTACAATAACAACAATATTGTTATACGCAATAAAAACATAAAGGATAGATTTACTGATTAGTACATAATATTTATGCCATGAATGTTTCAACTAATTTTAAGACCTCGGTCATTATTTCTATTAACATTGATAATGCATACAGGGTGTTTACAGTCTTGGAGTTGAAAATTGAACTAGTAATAGAAGAATACAGAAATATTGTAACCGAGAAAAAAAACTCACACAATTGTTATTATCAAGAATGTTATTTAACTCCAAAATATTGGTACACGGTTTGAGGGTCACTGGAATTATTTCCTTGTTCAGATAAAATTGTATTGTTGCAACAGATAAAAAAATCGTATCCATGACAATGAAAGAAAAAAGTGACTTCATAGTTTTGACACTGTCTTCATTTGATTTGCTTTTGCTTTAGTTTTTATCAAAATTCAAAGATCTTCTGTTTAATCTCTTCCAGCGAAATGGTTTCCAACAGGTTTGATTCGTTTTTCTTAATTTTTCTCCAAATTTATAAACATGTATGGCAAAATATTAAAATAATAAATTGGTTGTCGTGATTATGATTTACGGTGAAACACAAGATAATGATACTAATAACCATTGTTGCAGCCGAAGCAGTAGTTCTCAAACAAATAGTGTAAAATGAATAATTTCCTTTAACAACGTGAATTTTTGTTTTATATAGCGTATTAGTTTTTTCTACGGTGAATATCATCTCATTTAAATTTCAACCTCAAGACCGTAAACACGCTGTATAGTTTAAAATGTAAATAGGTAAGTGCATTGAATTTTGAATTAAGCAAAATACGTTTATATACAAAAAACTTCATTTTTAATCTGTAATAAAAAGGCAAGCAGTTCCGAAGAAGGCAAAACACTGAAACCGGTTACCAGAACTGAAAATTGAACTGAAAAGAAAAAAAGAAAAATTTATAATTCCAGTAAAGCTTGCAAGTTTCAATTCAACTCAACTTTAGCGTTTTTACCAGTTAGGTATACTCAGAAAATCGCCTAGTGTAAAAATTCGAGGTTGTTGTGGGTCTTGACGCCATATGTTTTCACTAACTTTGTTGACAGTTTCAATTATCTTGATGAACTGTGGCTTCAATTTTCAAGTTAGGCCAGCAAGTGTCGCTAGAATATAAATTAATATAAAAAATGTTTGTGTCATTTTGTAACCAAATATTAATTTTTGAATGATTTATAACCTGTCAGAAGTGTAAGCGAACGAATAAATGCGGGTGCCAATTTACTTTCTTTCTTTTCAATTCATCAAACGCAAAGTTTTTCAAACGGAAAAAGAGCGATTTATTTGAAAAATAAATGCATATTTAATAAGAAAATGGATTTCGTAGAGCCCACGAATATGTAACTCGCTCATAGTTAATGGAGCGAATTATGTTGCGTTTGTTAATTCAATTTTACTTTTCTTGCTATATTTGTTGGTCAAATGTTAAATTTAATTTATGAAAGTTAAATATTAATAAGAAATGAGTTCAATTATATTTCTCTTTATACAGCACATACAGGCTGCTCGTGCCCCGACATAAATTCCAAGTAAGATATCAGAAAGATGGGAAAAATGTTTAAAAAATTCTATCTGCCAAATAAAATTCCCATTTAGTTTTTGGCTTTTGAGATTTTTTTGTCTTTTTTAGTCTACTATAGTGTGATGATTCTGTACGAAGTGATGCATAAAGACTGAGTCTGTTGGTAACAGATTTGAAAGTATTTTTGTCAATAATTTGAAACACTGCACCCGGATACGGTTTTGCTTAACAAATACTTGACGTACAACCCCTCAAGATTGTTGAGGGGGGGGGGGGGGTAATAAAATGCCAATAAAAGACAAAATAACGTTAAACATAGTTACAATTCAGGTTACAGCTTCTTTGTTTCCTCTTCTAATAGGCTGCAGCAAAAAAAAAAACATGGAAAATTGTTTTCCCATTAGGAATAAATAATAAGGTCAAAGTGCAAAATTTAAACTCCCTTAATTTCAAAATTTTAATAGATAGATTTTTTTAACATTTTTTCTATATTCTTCATATCTTACCTTACATTGAATTTTTCACTGGGGCGCGAGTTATAAAACGCCCTGTGTTTCCCCAGAATCCGTTTACAAGAGGAATAAAATTATCTTTTTTTCTCTGTATTTTAAATCTTGTCACATTGGCGGTTTTATTTTTTATTTTTTTGACAACGATGTCACTTTGTCAAATGAGTTTACGCAAGTAAAATAACAAACATTTTTGTGAAACACATGATTTTAATAAATTGGTGGCAACTTAAAGAAACAGCTTTAAGATGATAAAAACATTCTTAATTAATTTATTGTTAAAGTGAAATCGTTGTCAAAAAAATAAAACTGCCAATGTGATGGGCCTTAAAAAAACAGAAAAAAATTACAATTACTAAGTTTGAATAATGTGGTTTTAGTTATAGATTGGTTCGTTTCAAGTTAAGCAAAAAATGTTATTTATCTTTAAGTGGTCGAAAATTGCGCCTTTGTGAATCTTTATAGAAACGGTTGACGTGGCTTTTTTGTAAACGGATGTGAAATAAATAGGAAACATAGAATTAGGCGTATAGTCATGAAAGTTTTTGTTCAACAAATACGACTTCCTCTAAAAAAGTAACGCATTTTTTAGCAATGGTACAGAGTACGCTAAAAAATATATCTACAAAAATTTAAATGCTATGATAGTCCATATTTATTTATAGTAGTTTATACAGGGTGCGCCAGAACTCGCGCTCCAGAGAAAAATGCCATATAAGATAAGATACTAGGAACATGGAAAAAATGTTAAAAAAAATTTATCTATAAAAATTTCGAAGTTATGAGGGTTTAACGTTTGCACTTTGACTTTATTTATTTCTGTTGGAAACATAATTTTCCAAGTTTTTTTGCCATAAGCTATTAAAAGAGGAAACAAGGAAGCTGTATCCTAAATTGAAACTCTGTTCAATGCTACTTGTGGCTTTTATTGGCAAAATTTTTGTCCCTTTACTAAATAATTCTAAAAAAACATATACAAAATCATCAGTACCATTAAATAGATATAAAAAAAATGTCAAATGTCAAAAAATAAATGTCAAAATTTTTTGACAGATAGAATTTTTTAAACATTTAAAACATTTTTTCATACTCTGTATCTTTGTCTGAGAGCAAACTTTTTGTTCACCTTGTATGCTTTTAAAATGAAATGTAATTTATGCATGGTGCAGTTATTAGTTATATCATAATAACCTTTTTTTATCGCTATCAAAAATAAAAGCTATTTAATGAAGTATTTACAACAACTATATAGATATGTAATAACATAAAGATGTTTTTTGAAAAAAATTTCCAGTAATCGAACCGATACTTCAAATACTAAAACAATATGACATTTATAAAATCCATATTCATACATTTTTTACTCTTGCTTTCAGTTAAATTTTGTGTGCAAGCAACCAATCTGGAGAATAATGCCTGCACAAGTTTGTGGTCATATCCTATAAAAGACATCAGTCCAAATTGCTTTTACAATCCCAACGTCCTGTCTACAACGGTAAAAAAAGTCTCAAAAGTTTGAAAAATATACAAATAAAACACTTTTTAGCCATTGATGATAATTCAGAATGGTTATGAGGTTTTCACATATTATGTCACAACTCCGGATGGTTACGTTTTGGAAATATTTCGCATACCGCCTAAAGAAGATGATAATCGAAAAAATAAACAACCCATTATTTTAGAGCATGGAATTTTTGTTGATTCAGGTTCTTGGATCTTTACAGGAAATGGATCATTGGGTAAAAAAAAATTGTTTTCTAAACACTCGTAACTTTTTTTGCAAATGTAGCAATAACATTAGCTTCAATGGGTTATGATGTTTGGTTAAGTAATCAACGGGGAACTCGTTATTCGCGTACCCATAACACTCTTAATGCCGCAGGGTATGATTATTGGCTTTACAGGTACGTGTTTTTATCGAAATGTTTACAAAGCAAACAATTTTTTAATAAACTGCGGCTAAAAAACTACATTGAAAAGTATTGTTTTTTATTTTAAGTTTTTAACAACACTAATAACGAATTCGTTTGAGTGCATTAAACAGCATTTAGTGTATTTTATGTTTTTAATGTTGATAACAATGACGTGGGAGGTAAATTACTTTCATTCTTCTTACCAATATAACAAATTTTAGATGGCGGATATGAAAAAATCTTTAGAATTCATTTACATGTTACAGACATCAAGAAATGTCAATTAAATTTTTCAACAGCACTGCCACTGTCACTAACTGACACAAAATTCCCCAAATTAATATATATGTATACAGGATGCGCCAGAACTCGCGCCCCAGAGAAAAATTTCAAATAAGATAAGATGCCAGGAACATGGAAAAAAATTTAAAAAATTCTCTGTCAAAAAATTTTGACATTTATTTGTTGACATTTGACATTTTTTTATGTCTATTTAATGATACTGATGAACTTGTATATGTTTTTTTACAATTATTTAGTAAAGGTACAAAAATTTTGCCAATAAAAGCCACAAATATCATTAAACAGAGTTACAATTTAGGATACAGCTTCTTTGTTTCGTCTTCTAATAGCCTGTAGCAAAAAAACTTGAAAAATTATTTTTGCAACAGAAATAAATAGAGTCAAAGTGTAAACCCTGATAACTTCGAAACTTTTATAAATATTTTTTTTTTATATTTTTTCCATGTTCCTGGTATCTTTCCTTATATGGCATTTTTCTCTGGGGGCGCGAGTTCTGGCGCATCCTGTATATTTTTTAAACGGCATAAAACGCAAAAAATAGAACAAAATGTAAAAAAGATTCTTTACTGAGGATCATTTCAGCAATTGTTTATTTCTCAACTCGCCCCTCCGCGGCTCGTATCGGAATTTCAAGTCTTGCTTGAATGTTGAATGGATGAGTGAAGCACGTACATTAGTACATTAGTACTATTTTCACATAGTAGGTAAACTTTTAAGTTTATTTGGATGTTTTATCATCTCAAATGACCTTGATTGATGATCTTAAGATGGGAAAGTCCCATTGTATGGTTCCTGTGCAAGAAGATTAGTTGTAAATAATACCTATGTTTGACCTTGAGACAGGCCTTGAGTGTAAACATCCTTGAGATAGGAGAAACATCTCAGGGTATGGTCCTTGTGTAAATATATTGCCCTTTGAACGTATAAAAAACGTCTGCTTTGTTGTTTTGTTATCAGCTTTTTTCTCTGCAGAAAATTTTGTCTTTGAGTTTTTAAATTTTTCTTTTATTTTTTAGTATCGATCAGGTTGCATCTAACGATGTACCAACGATTTTAGAAAAAGTGGCACTAGAAACAGGCAAATCTGGTTCGATTATATACATAGGGCATTCGAGAGGAAGTACTCTAATTTTTATGTACGCTTCCACATTTCCACAAAAAACAGAGAAATTACTTAAAGGCATTATTGCTTTAAGTCCGGTCGTTTATTTGGACTTGGATTGGTATCTGAAGCCACTGGGAAAATTAGGACCACTCATTGGAGTAAATTTTATATACTTCTAACGGGTGTTTATTTAAATTTAGCGTCATAGTTGATGATATGAGTGAGTGTTTTGTGAACGGACCACAATTTTTAATACGCCCGGCTAGGTGTCAAATGTCAGATTAATAACTTTCAATACGATGGTTTGTTCACAATCGAATTTTCATGGATAGCTTTGACGCCAAATTTAAAAAACACCCGATATATGATCTGTATTATTTTTCTTTACAGAACATCCTTTTAAAACTCGGTGTTTCCGTTATAAACAGATATTTTGAAATCACAGTTAATTTGTTGCAGCATATTTGCAGATGGGTCCCTTATTTGTGTAAGTTTGCAGCAACACTTTCTTCGGGCAGGAGTAATCATTTGCGTCCGGTAACATTTTTATTTTGAAAAAAAAATGATTTTTGCTAATTAATCTTAATTATTTAGGAAGACTTACTAGCATATTTTTCTCATTATCCGGCAAGTATAGCAGTCATGCAGTTAATACAGTATACACAAATCTATATTTCTGACAAATTCCAAAAATATGATTATGGTTTGAAAAATCTAGAAATATACAAACAAGTAAATCCTCCGGTTTATCATTTATGTAATATTACAACTCCGGTTTTTATGTTTTACGGCAAACACGACATCGTAATCAAAACTCAGGTAGTTAATAAAAGATTGTTTGGATTTTATTTACTTTCAGTTTTGTGTTTGTAGAATGTTGAACGATTATATAATGAACTCGGAAGCAAGAAGAAAAATTTCACAAGTGTTCCGTCTTTTAGCAATGAAGATGACGAACAGTTTGGTCACAATGATTTTTTTTGGACTAAAGACTTAGATAAATATCTCTATAAGGATCTGTTCGCTGTGTTGGAAATCGAATTAAGTACTTAGTTCTTTATCCTAACGAATGGTTGATCTGAAATAGAATGTATACCGGATTCACGAAATATAGAACTTTTCCCATTTTTGATTTTTTATTTTACTAAAATAACAAAATACGTAATAAGAAATAAGCAAGTGAAACGTAATGTTACATTCTGAGAACTCGTGGGGGTTTACAATTTTTAGCAATCAACAAGTTGCTAAAAATAGTGTCAAAAATCGAATTTTGAAACTTTTTTTTAAACAGTCACAACAAACGCGAAATAGAAAAAGTAAATTTAATTTAAAGAGTAAACAATTAGCATTCAAAGATATACGAAAGCGAATCATTTGAGGGTCTTGAGAGAAGTAAAAGTTGAATCAGTGGTTTAGTGCAATGATAATTTCAGTTCGCTAGTTCCAGGATCATAATTTTTTTGTTTACCCGCACTCATGCTAATGGGTTTTTATAAATCATCCATGTAGCTATGTAATTTATGACTGGAATAACAATTGGTTTGATTATTATCTGACTGGTAACACGATTTGTCGCTTTGCATTTGCGAGTACCTACCTATTATTACAAAAATGCAAACATTTGCACAAAATAAGTAGCTTTATTAGAGTGTAAAAATTAATTAATTTGTTGTGACTACATCTCTGTTTATACAAGGCTCATCTTTTACTTCTAAAAAAAATTCGAAATGAATGCCAAAATATTATGGGATATTACTTAACTTTTCTTATAAATATAAAAGACGTGAACACCTTTTTATTTTTAAATAATTTTGACAACAATTTTTATTTCAATTTCCTTTTTTGTTTTTCACACGTTATAAATGAAGCATCATTTAGATAATAAAAAACCACTCACAAAATATTTTACGAAGTTTGTTAAAGGTTTCGTCTGGAGAATATCGAATTAAAATTTGTCTTCTTTTTACCCTATACCAAATTACAAACTCATGGTTTTTATTATTTTTTTCCAAGATAATTAATTGCTTTTTATTATCATATCATCAAAAAGTTATTTAGAACTAAGTGTATTTTTTTGTTCGTAATAAAAGAACTGTTAAAAATAACATTCTTTGATTTGTAAAATACTAACATTAAAAAATTGAAAAATCATTTTGAAATGTGGTATTCGGGCCTAAATGCGGATTTTAAACAACTTTTCTTATTAACTTTGTGTCGTTCAGAAAAAGCACTTTACTCTATAGTAAAATAAGTTTTTTTTTTAATTTCCAAGGCATACTATTTTTCAAAACCAAAATTATGTTAGAAATTAGAAATTCCTCCACCATGTTTATTTAGGCCCAATTTCTGGAATATTAAAATTTATTTGTTCGATAGTTGGTAAGGCCCGATTTCTGGAAACATATTCTAGAACATGTTTATACAAACATGTATCGACAAATTTATATAAAGGAGCCACATCCCATGGAAGGGGATGTGCATGTTTTAATGGATTTTTTTCAATATTTCAGAAACCATTGCAAATAAAATTACAAAATTTGCTACAATTGATAACCTTTATATACCCAAACGAATTCAAAGATAAAATGTCAAAATTTTTACTCAGGGGTGTCCAAAACTGGGAGGGTTTAGGGTAAAAAGTACCCTAATTTTTGGATGTTGGTTCTTGCCACTTTCAGCCATAAAATTCTAAATTCTATAGTTTTTCACTAAAAAGAGGTCTCTTGCGTTCTTTCGATACAACTTACCGTTTTTGAGTAAAATCAATTTACAATATGTGTTACAGACCATAAAGAGAACAAGAATTAAAAATTAAATTTGTTTTACCGTTTAAGAAGCCCGTCATTAAAAATTTCGACAACTGATCTTTGAATTCGTTCAGGTGTTTAAAGGTTATCAGCTGTACAGTCGAACAAAGTGAAAATGACGCCTCAATAAAGCAGCGCCTGCTGTGGATGCCGACCCTTCTAGCCGCAAGCAGGCAGGGTCATAAATTATCGGATTGCAAACCTGACGTAGTTTCAAGATAAATTTCTTTAGAAGCCGGTTTACAGAAAGCGAAATGAAAATTTAATTCAGAATTAAACTAATTCGAATTAAGTTGCCATTTATTTTGGTCAAGCTAAATGAAAATGCAATTTTTTTAATAAAAAATTTAACAAACCATTTTTTGAAGAAAATTATGCATTAATGATGACATTGACGAAAAAACAAATTATTATTAATGTAATAATTTTTTAACTGTTTTTCAAAATAAAATAATTTTATAAATCATTTAAAATACTCGTATTATGGTTTTACATAAAATCAAGTTTAAAGTAGAGAAAACCTATTTCGTACAAAAATTATGTTACTTAATTTAATTTTCGAAAACAGTTTATCAAAAAAATGTGTTACATTAATGATTCGAATTAGTTTAATTCTGAAACAAATTTTAATTTCGCTTTCTGCTCAAAGAATTAAACCACTCGCGGTAAAGGCACAAGTGGAATTAAGCCTTCTTCTCGCAAATAAACAATGTTTTAATTCATTTGTTGTTTTACATAAAATTAAGTTTAAAATAGAGAAAGCCTATTTCGTTCAAAAATTATGTTAATTAATTTTATTTTGAAAAAACAGTTAAAAAAATATTAAGTTAATAATGATTTGTTTTTCGTCAATGTCATTATTAATGTATAATTTTCTTTAAAAAAAAGAATTTGACGTTTGTCAATGCAAAATAAATGACAACTTAATTAGTTTAATTCTGAATTAAATTTTTATTTCGCTTTCTGTAAACCGGCTCCTAAAGGAATTTATCTTGAAACTACGTCAAGTTTGCAATCCGATAATTTACGACCCTGCCTGCTTGCGATTAGAAGTGCTGGTTTATTGAAGCGTCATTTTCATTTTGTTCGACTGTACCAACTTTTGTAATTTTATCTATTTTGAAATAGTGGGGGTGTAGCTCGCTTACAAAACATTTTTTGATACATGTTCATAAGAAACTTTCGTCTAAAAATTGAATATTCTATCACCTGTTTAAGTCTGTAACAACAAAAACGGGACACTCTGTATTTAATATTTTATTAAAGAAAGCCTAAAACTTTAAAAGTTTATATCATTGCAATAAAAAAATTAAATCGCAATTTATTAGAAGTTTTCATGACTACCTTAGTCGTTGATATAGATTTATGGTCGTATGATAGTGGTTGTACACTTTTGTTTAGGTATACTTTAGGAAGTATGAAATTAATTTAGAAAGTAAGCGTTAATTTGGGCATTTTAAAAGAGTACGAAACAAAATGTATCGCAAAGCTGTTTCGCGAATTTTGGGACAGCCCGTATATTTACCAAGTATGGATTTAAATCGATAAATTCAAAAGCGTGGGCTTTTCATTCGCCATAATGACTGTAATAACGTTATCGAAGACGTCAACACACTAACATCATCAATAAGTTAAGGTGATAATTTCGCTCAAAACTCTTCAGAAGTCGCACTTTATTAGATTGTCACTCCGTCATACTCTCTTGACGTAGAATTTTTTTCTAATACTGTCAATCATTCTTAACATAATTTTCCTCAAGTTCCGCATTTTCTTACCAATGTTTATTATTTTTGTTGCAGGCATTCGAAGAGTTGGAAGACCTCTTAGCTGAACACAATATATGCATAGCTGTAAAGGAAAAGCTTGTAAAAGATTCCGGAGTGGCGGATGAGTCGGCATACGACAACATCGTACAAAAACTTTTAACGAAGCCAAGAGCTAGAGGTAAACTGCTCTTAAACTGGTCTTTATCCTGACACATAAAACACTGAAACTTCCACTCGGATAGCCTCTTTCAGGTGATCCGGTAACAATCGCATTTAAACTATGATACTAAAGTTTACGACGGTAATAATCATTTTCAACATCACAAACTTTTTTGGTTACAAAGTGAGTAACTTGACAAGATCCGATTATCCTTGATTTGTGTCGGAAACTGGTCTGAAACTTATACTGTCAGGTACAGTTTGAAATTATGTTCATAACCTTTAAAATATTGAATTTTAAAAATTTATTTAGATTGTATGACAATTTAACAGCGTTTTCTAAAATCGTAAGTATTACAAAAATTATGGATTCCAAAGGAACAAAAAATGGTTTAATTCCTAACTTATTTGATTTCGAGCTTGATTATATCTTAAGAGAGTTTTGTTACTGAAGGATTTAATTCTATCTCGTTTATAGGATTTAAGTTCTCTCAACTTCTTACGTTTTTATCGTACGTGATCCTTTTTTGAAATCAACAGACGCTTTTGAGTTTATTTCCAAATCCGATAAAAAGAACTAAAATATTTTGTTTAGAAACCTTTAGTCAATTTTTACGTTGTGTTCTTGTAGAATTTTGTCAAACTTTCACCATTATCTAAATAATACAATTAAACATTGGGTTAAAGTTTCCGTGGAAAATTTTATTTTGTCTGAATCGAATGTGAAATGATAAATATAATGGCGCTGTTTGCAAGTTATGACGGTTTCAGGCGTCTGTAAAAGAGTTTTTCAAGATCCTTTACTTTCCCCATTTGATCTTATTTTCGCTTGTTTTGCTTGTTAATGGTGTGCAATAGAGTAATAGCGACGTGTGAGAGATGTTAAGGATTGTACAAATTCGTAAAAGTGATGTAGTTTTTTCAATGGAAAGCTTACGAGCGATAGTTTTTGTTACATTTTTTAATTTTTTCTTTGTTTTTGGGGTTTCTTTTTTAATTTGTACTGTGGATGGGAAAATGGTGCTTTAGACGGAAATTAGTTTTTAAAATGACTGATGTTTTTACATTATGCACACAAATACTAAACTTATTTGCAGAAAACAGTTGCTGTTTTTTAAAAACTGTACTTACTAATAATAACAACTTTGTACACGCAAAAATGTATAATACTTTTGTTTGTCAATTTTATATTATTATTTATTGTTATAATACAAAGCTTGTATAGATAATTAATTTTTATACAGGGTGTTTGAGGATTGCGAGCAAATATTTTATTTTTCGTCAAAAGAAACAACTTTCGTTATTCCAACTTTTGTCGAAAGCACGTCATTTCTGAGTTAAAATTAAAAATAAATTGAGGCTGAAAACCCGCCCCCGCCTATGTCTTAATACGATGTTTACAATCATTCATAAGAAAAAACTTTTTAACGTAAACAGCGTAAAGACAAAAAAATTATCGCTACATTTGGGTAGATCAGTGTCAATGTTAGTGGGTCAATACTTGCTATTATAAAAAATTTCTCGAAATGTGGTCATTCGTTGGCAATGCACACTTCTTGTACTCTTCGGGCTAGGGAAGCTTACGTTCGAACACATAGCCCTTCGAAGGTATAAATTTGAATTACTTACGTAATTCACTAATTGTTTTATGAACCCCCAAAAAACACACGTATTTAAATCTGGTGACCGCGGTGGTCATTGGCGGCCAATCTATCTCTAGGGAAAATGATTGTTCAATCCATTGGTAACGACTTTGGGATAATCTGATGGAGCTCCACTTGTAAATACCGCATGTGTCGCCAAGGGCACGTCCTCCACCAGATCGGACAACACATTTTTCAAAAAATCCAGATAAACGCCACTAGTTAAACGTTGAGGTAATATGTGGTGTCCAATTTGGTGATCTTCAATGCTCGCTGCCCAAACATTTAGTGAAAATCGGTCTTGGAAGTGCGTTGTCCGTACACTAGTTAATTTGGCGTTTGGGTAGTTGGCCATAATGACTTGATTGACAATTTGATTTCAAATCGATGTGCACAATTCACCCGAAATCGCATTAACGACTAACTAAACTGACACGTGTAAACAAGTGATAATTTTTTTATACAAAAAGTTTCCTTTTTTTGTATAAAAACTTTCACAGTCAACATTCAATGCAATTTATTTTCATTGATATTTTACTTCCAACTAACAAGGACAGACACACTGAATGACTCGTGAAAATCATATAGGGGAAATTGCAAAAATTAAATTTTGGATACGGAATTTCTTTGGTCTTCAATTCGACTTTTCATAACAAATTCTCTTAGTGGTTAAAATATTTGCTCTCAATCCACAAACACCCTGTATATTAATTATAGAATTTTATTAATTTTAAATATTCCTTTAAAACGTTAAATAAACTGCAACAATTATTGAACAAATTTGAAAAAAGCCTTTTTACCCTTTTTGTTAAAAAAAATTAGAAAACAAATTATAGATACATATTCAGTAAATAACATTATTTCTTTCCAAATTTTTTGTGGGTTATGCAGCGGTGCTATACGAACCGCTCCTGATATCTGCAATTCTTTTTTTTTAGTCAAAATTACATATTATTGATATTTGTTAACAGTGATTAATTAATTTCAGGATGCATTATTTTCGGCTCTGATCAAGAAGTGGCCGGCGTCATGCGTGCCGTCCGTCGTAGCAACGCAACGGGAAGCTTTTCGTGGATAGGATCAGATGGATGGAGTGCTCGTTCTTTGGTCTCTGATGGTAACGAGGCCGAAGTAGAAGGCACTTTATCAGTGCAGCCACAAGCAAATCCTGTGCGTGGATTTGAAGAATATTTCTTGTCTTTAAATGTTGAAAACAATTCAAGAAATCCTTGGTTTATAGGTAAGAAGTGGGATTAACAAAATTACTAAGACCTCATGAAAGATGAAATCAGCCAATTTGCACTTTTTATACGTATTGCTTAATGAAATTGTCTGCAATTTGAGACATACTCAAGAGAGAGAGGACATTATTAAATCTCCAATTAAAACAAATCCACCAAGCGGCATAGACTCAGCCCTGAGGGAAACAATTTCCCAATTGCTTTTTTATCTGCGACATTTTAATATTAATGAAATTAATGTTAATAGCCTCCTGGGAAAAGTTGGTTACTAAACTTGCATATTTTAGATCCCAATTCTGGAGATAAATTGACTAATTTACTTCAAACTTTATAGGGTTATTGTAAGGCCAGGTCTTTCACTGACTACAAATATCTACTGTAGATACAAAAAATATATATTTCAGTTTTTTTAATTATTCTAGAATAACCGATCAAAAGCCCACCAGTGACTTCAACATTGCAAATGCAAAAATTCAATTGATTATGTCTAATTTTGATGATTTATTATAAATATTCAATTGTGTTCCAAAATTCACTAGCAGGATTAAACAAAACGCTATACAGCACTAGTGAGAAACTAATTCACCCACTTCTGGGGAATCTTTTAGTTTCTCTACTCGTACTGTAATATATTATTACAATTATTAAACTATAGTTTAAAAATACATTTTTTATCATACTTGATTGTTATTTGATTAGATCCTTACTGTGTTCATGCTTGTTATGGCAACAATAATAGCCTACACCGTTAAAGTCTTTAACGAAGGTTGTTACGCATGTTGCTGTACAAAAAGAATACTCAAAAGGCTACTTGCAAACTACAATCTAGTTTGTTATTTGCTACATATCGGCCTTATGACGTTAATAACTATTATAAAATTTATAAATCGTCTGACGTTTTTTTGGCTAATTGTCCTTCATTTATTGTCATGCATTATTTTTTTTTTAATTCTGAAACAATTTGAGAAATTGAAACTTTTATGATTAGACTAAAATAAATGTATTTGTTGTTAGAAGTATCCTAGAAACCAATAAAATTGCATTCTTCGTCCTATTAAAAATTACATTTTTGGTCCTCCGTCCAGGCTTTCGTTAAAATCGTTCGGAAACACTTTGGAGGCCTAGGTCGTCAAAAATTTTCCAAATGTTGGCAACATTGGTTATCCGTTCACATTTCTTAAATGACAAGCGGCTTGATTTCACAGCTAATATTTGATGTATTAAATTCATTTTTTAATTTGGAGTTAATTTATTAATAATTTGAAGTTTATTTTCGACATTGTGTTGTCAACCTAAATACATGTAACTTTCGTAGCGCAAACTATTTGAAGATTTTTTGAACTTTTGAGAATACGTTTTGAAAGTGAGACTTCGCCGCGGCCCAAAAACCACGCTCGCACTTTCAAAATGAGTTTCTAGCTTTGTGTTACAAATATCTATTTTTTTTAGTATTTTGCTAAATCAAAAAATTTGTAAAAATGATCGAGGAACCAAAATATGGTTTCTACATGTTAAATCGTCTGTGATAATTTTGTTAAAATTTACTCTTTTCTATAAATGTAAATTAGAGGACAGAAGAATTAAAACTTTGGTCGACTTTTAGCATTTCTTAAGAATTTTGAAGTAGAATTTTTTTTTTAATCGAATCAAATAACATTTCTTAAAGTTAGAAACTAAAAAAAAATATAAAATATTTGGTCAATTTTGAGCAAAAGACGTTTTTTGTATTGTTCATAATCAAAAAATCACATAACAATTTATAATCTTCCGAAGTATGGTTTCTAGACGTTTTTCACATTTCTTTCAACGTTCTTCAGTCAATTTTGAAAAAAAAAAATATGATACGAGTTTTATAAGACGCATTTTGTCGCACGCACGGGTGTAATGTAAAGAAGTAAGTGAGACAAAATGCCTTATAAACAAGATATCATACAGTGTTTTTTCTTTTTTGCACTTTTTTAAACAAAAAATAAAATTTTGAAACGTAGGAAAGACAGTATATTAAAAAAAAAACAAGTTTCATAAGGCCAGTCTTGAGGCACGAATTCAAGTTTAAAAAATGAGTTTTTTCAAGTTCGTATGAAACAAGTTTTTTATACAAATTTTTGTAATTTGTCCTCTAATTTTAAGTATTTTAATCGCTTTTTGATTACTTATTCATCGCGTTCCTTAATATTCCTATTAGAGAATCAAAATGGAGCCAAATTAGAAAATAGTATACGTATATTAAAGAACGCGTTTCGTAAGACAAGTTTTGTGGAACGAATTCAGGAACGAGTACCCACAAAGGACTTATGAAACAAGTTTTTTAAGCTATTTTTTATATTTTGCGCGTTTTACGTACTTTTTTAACATACAAGTCAATTTTTCAAAATTTAGGAATTTTTGCCCTAATAAGGTGGTGGTTGGTAATAAATCTCACAAAGTTTGAAAAATGCGACTGTTGAAGTGTTAAGTCTCGAATAATTCTCATAATTTTTGTTGAATTAACAATGAATACTGCAAATATTTCATGCACACCACCTGAAAAAAATAGAAATCGCTTATAACGCCGCTGGAAATCAACATCACCAACCTAAATCATCAAAAAAAATCAACATAGAGCTTTCTTAAATTGCGAGTCAAACACAATCATTTCTGTCTTTACATAATTCAATCTTTCCAGCTTAATTTTAGTCATAGACCATTTTGATTTCAACGTTCTGTATTATAATAAGTCCATCACTTATTTTCTTTGATTATAGAATTCTGGGAGCACCATTTCCAGTGCCGCTACCCTAACAGTTCAAAAACGCCCTACAACCAAAAACATAGCCATCTTTGTACCGGAAAAGAAAAATTGACTCGCCAAAATACAGTTTTTGAAGACCAATTGCAATTCGTTTCGGATGCCGTTATGGCATTTGCCTACGCAATCCGGTAAGTATGTTTTAACAAGAATTTTGCCTATAAATGACTTTGTTTTTGTTATTTTGTCCAAATACTACTCTCTTTGTTATTTCTCTGTTTACGCACATCACTTTGTATCTCTTTGTTTCTGGGGACAAGCTCCATTAAATCTTTGGATTTAACGAGAGAATAAAATCTTTGTTGTTAAGGGGAATCGATCGCGATGTTGCAACTTCCATTGACAATGTTACCCTCCAAGGAAACAAGTTTTGTTCTTTGAATAATAAAAATTACCTTCAGATTCCTTCAATTTATTTAAATTTATGTAAATACGCGAGATAATGTAGCTCGGAAGGAGATTAAATGGTGATCTTTTATTTGCAAATAAAATTCTTATCTCAAAATCTGAATATAATATTATTTTAGAGACATGCACCGAGACCTCTGCCACGGAAGACCGGGACTCTGCGATGCTATGAAGCCAACGAAAGGAACAGAGCTTTTAAAATATCTTCGAAAAGTTGACTTTGAAGGTATGTATGTGCCAACTCAAAAAAATTTGCTTAAACGCTCGACAAACACCAGAATTACACTATTTTCGATCTAATTCTGTAAATTTTTGTTTTTTTTTATAACGGAATTTGGCTGAATAATTATAATATGGTTTAAAACTGCTGTTGAAACCCCTAAAACCTGCAAAAATGATAATTTTTGCCTTAATTTTGAGATTCGGCTTATTTTAGACGAAATGTTGCTCAAAAATAAGGTAAATCTACCCTAGATTTGAATAAAGTAACGTCAATTTCAATAAATTTTTATGATTTTTAAGCGGCTTTGATAATTCTTTTGCAAAATAGATGAGACCCTGAATCAAAAATGAACTAAATCGAATGAAACTAGCTGAAATAATATCAATTTAGAAATTATGTTGTGTTTATCTTAAAAACGTGATTATACACTCGAAAAATGTAAATTTTCGTTTTGTTTTTAACAAAATTTGTCAAAATAAGCACGTTTTGAACTTTTTGAAGTAAAAACATGTTGAAAAAGGGCATTTTCGATTTATTTGATTTAATTTGTTGATTCTTCCATTTAATTTATCAAAATATCGCAAAAAACTTAAATTTAATTTCAAATCTTGCTCAAATTGAAGTTTAAATTCAAAAACGTGATTAAACACTCGAGAAATGTAAATTTTCGTCTTGTTTTTAACAAAATTGAGCAAAATAATCGTGTTTTGAACTTTTTGAACTAAAAACATGCTCAAAAATGGCATTTTCTATTTATTCGATTTATTCGATTTAATTTGTTGATTTTTCCATTTAATTTATCGAAATATCACAAAAAAATTTAATTTCAAAGCGTGCTCAAATTGAAGTTTCAGATCAAAAACGTGATTAAACCCTTAAACAATGTAAGATTAACGCCATTCTCGACCAAATTTGGAGACTTTTCGGCTTATTTTAAACAAAAGTTTACTCAAAAGTGAGGTTACCGAGTGTAAGGTACAAAAAACAATTTTGAAGTATTTCAATGATTTTTAGTCATGTTTTTACAAGATTTTGCAAAATAAATGAGTGTTTGGATTAAAAACGAGCTAATTAGAGTGAAGCTCGCTATAATAATACCAATTTCGATATAAATTTGTAATTTCTTTAGCGAAATTATTCGATTTTTTGCTTCTTTTTATCTGAATAAAGTGCTAAAAGTTCAAAAAAATTATAAAATAACATCATTTTTGGTCTGATTTTGTACATTTTTCCTTAGTTTTTAACGAAGTTTTGCATTTGTACAAAATCACCAGATATTAGAATTTTTTAAATAAAATTTTCACCAAATCATAAGACTAGCATGTAAATCAATAGATCAGGTGAAATTTCACCCGCCTTGTCAACACAAAAATAGTATCTATCATCCATAAATCGATCTGTGACTTATTTTTTTCAAATTAAACAAACTGTGTGCCTAAACTGTCATTGTTTTTAATGACGAGTAAAAAACTAAAGCTTTATCAAATGTTAAAGTTTTATGACATATGATCTAAACGATTTTATTATAAATCACTGGTGCTCACAGTTAGGGTGTGTTAAAATTCTGCTCAGCCACTAAACGTCCTGCATTAGTCTGAAATCCATCTCCGGTAAGAAATTTCAGCTGAGATAAAAACGTGAAAAGTACGTAGTTGGATCCCAGTAGTTTCATAAATTATTTCGTTTCTCCAATCTGCGAGGCGTGCACTGAATGATTTGAGTAAAAAATTTTGATAGTAAGTAACTTTCGTTTCCGAAACAAATTTTTTGCGCATCAATGTTATCATAAAGCTTCCAATCAATCGGAAATTCACAATAACTGGGAAGACGCACGATATATTCATGGAACAAACTCCCGAGCACAAATTGGATTCTTAAAAAAAAATTCTATCAAACTCACTGCCTCGTCTTATAACCTTATACACAAAAATATTTAATCTAGAGCTTATTTTCGTAGAATCAATAACTTGTTTATACTTCAGATTGACAGTGCTATCTGCTTGGAAATTCAATGCATTTCAACCATATTATTTATTGCAAAGAATAATGAATCCAACCATGAAAACAAAATCAATTGTTGGAGATTTACCTACTTGAGTAAAGAAGTCTTATAAAATTTGGCTAAATTAAATTGACCACAAAGAAAAATCCATTGTTCCAAAATTTATAAACGTTTTAAGCAAAACAATTAATGTTTTTTTTCTAGTAGACAGTGTTTCAGAACTGGCGTCCCATAGAAAAATGTAAGTTAAGATACCAGGAACATAAGGAAAAATGTCAAAAAAATCTTTCTGTAAAAATTTCGAAATTATGGTGGTTTAAATTTTGCACTTTGACTCTATTTATTTTAGTTGGAAATAGTTATTTATTTGACATGAAGACTAGTTGAATACCTACAACGTCTTATACTTCGAATTAGACTCAACAAAAATTGCTTTAAATCTGTTAAAAAGACCTGACCTGACCTGACGTTGCCAAACAGTTGTCAAAACTTTCTTACTTGGGAGAAAAACCGTAAATTTTGACAGTGTCGAAGAATAAAATAATTTTACATGTTTTTTTACTACAGGATATTAGAAGAGGAAACAAAGAAGCTCTATCTTGAATTGTAACTATGTCTAAAGTTATTTGTGGCTTCCATTGGTAAAGTTTTTGTGCCTTTAGGTCCGGTTGCTCTATTGAAGCTTAAATCGAGCTTAACTGTAAGCTGAACTTAACCAACAACGAGCGCTGTTGCTCAGTTCGAAAGTTTAACTTAAGGGGTCAATGTTGATCGCTTAAGCCTTAGCTTATCGAATGCAGAGAACAAAATTGCTATTAAATATAACGCAATTGGTATTTTTTAAGTTGGATTATCTAATTACATATGACATATTTTTAATAATCCTCTTCTGTGAAAATGATAAAAGAAACCACATTTAAGCAGAAGATCATCGCCGGTAACATTAATTAGATATAAAAACGGTGAAATGTTAAAAAATAAATGTAAATTTTGTAATAAAGATGAAATTTTTTAAACATTTTTGCCATGTCCATGATATCTTATCTCACTTGGCATTTTTCTTTGGAATGCGAGTTCTGAAACAACCTGTATGTCATAATCAGAAAAAAATGTTCATTGTGTTCGTTTATAAACCAAACTTACCTCTGATTCAAAATATTTGTTTTGATAATTTTTATATGAGTCAATAATTATAGAAAATTAAAATTGATTAAAATCAACTTGTTAAAATTAAATCTGCAGTTGAGACAAATTAAGCGAGACATCCCTCGTGGTGATGAAAAATTATTATTGAAAATCATAAAAAATTGAACAAAAAAAATCACATACGGTTACAAGAAATAAAACAAAAAAGCGGTCACGATCAAAAAATACGATTATTGTTTTTGTACAATGGCGAGCATTAGATTTTGGTAGGTAATGTCATTTAGAAACTTCATCTTTTTGTCAAAAAAAGTAGTTTTCCTCTGTAATTTTGTCTGTTGTGTTTTAAAAAAAATGAATATAAATCTCAAAAGACGTCGCCAAAAACAAATTAACAAATATTTTAATAAAGTGTATTTTTCAAATTAACTCTCCTCTTATCAAATTGAGAAAAAAATAGCACAAAAAATTAAACAAAAATTCCCAAGAAATGATGGGAAAATGACCAGCAGTTACAAAATCTTAGAGTTGCCATTCAAGAAAAAGACTTTTAAAGTTTGGAATTGGGATGGTATTATGTTTGTGTTGTCTTTTTACTAATATCAGTTGAGAGGCACACTGTAAAACAACAGATACGTGGTACAATTTTACAAAAAAAACCTGAAAATTAATTGACAAATTCTGAATAATAAAATAAAATTTTAAAATATATAATAATAAAATATAATATATAATAAAAAAATAATTTTAGCGCTCACTGTATACACGTTTGTATCTAGATAAGCCTTGATTCCTTGTACCAAGGAAAAGAATTTGGTATTCCCTAAGAGAATATTACATATATAGGTGTTAGTTATTCTACCTTCAAGGGCTTTCAAGGGAGATACTCTAAACAAAACCTTAGATACGACGAGAATACGAAGATCTTTACTGGCAAAAATTTTACAGTGCCATAAAAGGATAACGTATCGGCGCTATGCCAACATCAAAAGTGCTTGTAAAAGTTCTTTGAAATGCACTTCTGTGGATAAATATGCACAAGTGAAGCCCTGTTTTACGACGACGGTATAAGAAGAGCAAAATAATGCTTGAACGACAAACCATTTTTACACAGGTTGGTCCAAAAACCACTTATGATATAATAATGATTAATTTACAATGTCTGACATAGTCGAGCTGTCATATCAGATATTAAATTATTAAATATTAATTGTCCTGCTTCTGTTTTTTTTGTTTTCTATTTTCTCTTGACCTTAAAACAGTCTTTATCAAGGCTTTATAAAAACTTTTACAAGAGAACATTTCATAACCACTCTTTTGCGTTTTGGTTCCTCAATATGTTGCTACAGTTACTATATGCGAATGGAAATAACTTAAAACACTTACAGGGTGTTAAAAAGTTGAAAAAGAAATTTGTGTATTAAATACAACTGAACCCTGTAGAACAGTTAACACACAAGATTTGTATTAAACTTTTTGGCCGAAAACTTTTATTAAAAAATGAAAAATAAATTTTTAATTAGACGTCAATGTCAAAAAAATCGATCGTGATGGCTATGACGCAGCACTAGATGGCGCTATTCCAGTTGGAATAAAAACAAAAATTATTTCAGTCATAAAGTTATGTAAAATGCCATTTCAATAAACCAGTTTTTAATATACAAAAAGGATATACTCTTAAATATGTCTAAAGGATGGTGTTGTTCGAGAGTTTTTACTGAACGCTGAAAAAACGTTTTTTCATAGTTGTCAATCGTACGTTAATTTGACGTTCACATGGTAGGAGGTCAAAAACTAAATTTATAAATTTGTGTCTATTTTGATTAAATTCTAAAGGTTGGACGTTTATGGAATGATT